TTACATTGGTAGACTTTTGCCCCAGTTGTTTTTTAAAACATCTTTTACCAGATTGCACATGTAAACTTACTCGGTGGGCAACTGTTGCCTGGAAGGAGCCGTGCTGCAAATATTGCCCTGTGCATTTCATGGAAGTTTTTGTGATAATGAAAACTTGCTACTTCTGTAAATTTTTTTTTTTTCTCTTTTCTGTTCTGTGAAAAATAAGTTTCCTCTTTTTTTTTTTCTCTCTAGAGGAAATCTGAAACTGACAACACAAAGTAGCTGTCAAACGTATTTAAATGCCGACTTTTTGCTAAACGTCCTTGCAGACGGTTCGCTCAGCCGTTCGGATTACGAAGCCTGATAGTCAGGCAGCGTAACCAGAAAGTCGCTTCTTTTTGAAGTGCAACTCTAGGGTGTGTTTTATAGTCAGTAGCTGTTTCGCAGGTGCATTGCCTTAATACTAATGTGGCTGGGACAAATTGCTGTAGTTAGGTTTGCAGCTGCCATCTCCCTTCCCAGGGTTTTCTCTCACTAGGCCAATAATACGGAAAATCACTTTGTCGCCTTTTTGTCTTTTCTGTGTATCCGCTTTCTTCAGTGAGTAGTCTCAGAAATCTGTACAGCGCTGGGTTTGAATGCGCAGAGGAGCGGTGTTTATATGGCCCATCTGGCCATTTCAAAAAGATTGGGAAAATACACCAGTTATTGAAATACAGAGTTTTCTAAAGCGGAAAAGTTTAACTGGATTTAATTTAATTGGTTCAAGGAGGAGGATCAGAGGATAAAGCAGATATTGAGTGGGAGAATTGGTGTTGAGGATGGCAACAAGCTTAATTTAAAAAAAAAAAAAAAAGATGATTTAAAATTGTGTTGTAATTTTCTTGGTGGTGTAAAATCATGTCACTACAAAAACCATACTGATTGCCTGTGAAAGTGGTTATTCTTGGATTACCTTTTTTGTAGAAAGTGCCTTTCTGAATACAGGTGCTTTTTTTTTGGCTTTTGGGGGTTTTTTTTTTGTAATGCTGCCTGAGACCTAATCAGTTTTCTGATTTCAGTGTTTAATTTGTTTTCCATGTTCAAAACCTTCTGGTTTAGGGTCTTTTGGCAAGCAAAGTATAAACCAGTTTATTAGGTAATATGCAGGTATGCTCAAATTCCCTGGGGCCAGATGTTCTGCATATAATCCATGGCCACTTCTGGATGTAATTAACAGAATACACTACTTTTTTATATACATATGTAGAGAGAGTGGGTGCTGTAAGTCTTCCTGACTGACTGGTCCTTGTGACAAGTTGGAAGTCCTG